TTTTAATATCTAACTAGTGCTACATTAAAGCCACTGTCTCCCGGTTCTCATATATCCTTTATTAAACCAATTTTTTAGTCTTTTAATATATTTATATATTTTATATAAGTTTTATACTATATAAAGATTACTAATATATATATATATATATATATTCTATTATAAGGGATTAGTTTAATGTAAAAAATTCAAAAGGATTTTATCTTTTATGTTGAATGTATATATTATAAATATATAACAAGAATAAGTAAAGAATATATGAATACTATTTAGCCATAAATTACATAAATTGTGTCCAAAATAACGGAATTTTCTTTTTGTTAAATAAATCATAATATATTAATTATATTTAAGTCTATTTATTCAATGCTATTATATAATTATAAGAGTAATATTATAAAGCATTTTAACATTTGAATTGAAATTAACTTAAACTGGAATTTAAAGAATTCTTTTACAAACAAATATTATCTTTTAATATATAAACAAAAAGAATATGTTTTTAAACAAAATACAAAAATTACAAATAAAAAAATAAAATTTATGTCAACATTTGTCTAAATAATTTTCCAAAGTTCAAAAAATATTATATATTTTACAAATGCTAGTAATGCTAAATATGAGAATATTTTATCAATGATAAAAGTTTTGGTAACCATTATTTGTTAAACTTGACGGTTAAAAAGTATATTTTTAAGAAAATAAATACTATTAGTACCCAATAAATATCTAATTTAGGTAAATTTAATTTTAAGTTAACAGTTGGTATGAATGTATGTGTGTATGTGTATGACCTATGTATGTAATTTGTAATCAACTGTTACGGCGTTTTAAGTTATGTTTTGCGAAAAAGTTAAAATAAGTTATATTTTGAAATACTGCTATAAAAGTTAAACTCAATTTACCCAACACTTGTAATTTGTTGCCAACATATTGCCGGCAGACATCAAAATGTTAAATCAAACATTAACTATAATTATTGCCAAAAGCACCGGTAGATTTGTATTATTAAGACTAGTAATTGATTTAATACTTACCAACGAACTACTGTTTTTAAATAAATGTCTCTTTTTCCTAATACAATAATAAATATTTGTATCAATATATGTTTCAAAAAAAGTTATTATGTATTAACATTAAATACTTAAATAATATTTTAGCTATTTTTTATTAATAATCTTTAATCTTATAGAACAAAATTTTAATCCTTACTGAATTAACTTTAAAGTCTAATTATTATTAAAAAAAATATTATTTAAATCATAATAAAATATTTAAAATATAATATTCATAATATTATTTATTTCTTATATTCTATGTTTTAAATTTAATTATGAATAAAGAAAGTAACTAAAATAGTAATGATAAGATCACAAATGTAATTTTAAAGATATAATGCCAACATATTTTAAAAATCAAATTAATAAAATTAAATCATAATTATTGTTAATCAAGATAAATATATAAAAGTGTAATTAAAATTTAATCCCTTTACAAAAAAATAAAATTTAAAGAAAAATAAATTAGTAATGTATTTAATATATCATTTATTTTGCATTTGTTGCACTTTTATATTTTACCATTTTTTGATGGCATAATAATTGTTCTCAAAAATACTGTATATATTGTAAATGTATGTTTCTTTATACAGTTTATATATATATAATATGATTATATTTGTGTTTGCGCTCTAAATTTTATTTTTTTAAATATTAAATTTAAATTTCTAATTTTTCGTTTAATATCAAATCAAATAAAATTATATCTCATTTGATGCCATCAATTGCTCAATCATTGATATATTATTAATAATGACAAATAAATTGCATCTCATCTCTAATTTTAGGATCACATACGCCCCAAGAAATTCCCGCAAAAAAATTAATTTCCAACAAACTATAATTTTATAGGAAATTTGCATTTACATATTTGTGAGTAAATTTAAATATAACATTGCATACACATACTGTAAAATACATACACACAAATTCAAAAATAAATTGAATATAAAAAAATTATGTTAATTTTCTACATTAAAAATTTTTATTTTTTATATATCAATTTTTCAATAATATTGATTTTACTTGATATAACTGATTTATACAACAGATTAAATTTTGATATCATTTACAAAAAAATATTTGTATAGAAGTGTCATATTTCATAACATTATATATTTTTAAAAAACATGATATACCAGTATTAAATTAGTCTTATTTTTATAAGACGTTCATTTTTATTATTATTATTATTATTATTTTTTTCCCAAAATTCATTGATTTTTATAATATTTATTTTAAAAATTATTTGATATTTTTAATAGAAATAAACATTTGTTGTTTAGTTTAATAATAACTCTCTTTCTAAAAAGTTATAGACGTCCTTTGAGAGCGATACATAATAACTGAATATTATATATATCCAGTAATTAAATAAAATATTTTTAATTAAATTTATTAGAATATCTATATTCATTAAAATATGATAAGATTATAATTTTTGTGTTTAAGATTTATAAATCACAATTTATTAATCTAGATTTTTATATAGTTTATTTTGGTGTCACTTAATTTAAATGCAAATTCTCTCTCTCTCTCTCTCTCTCTCTCTCTCTCTCTCTCTCATTCATTTACACACACACGTATATATAGACAGTATATATATATACAAAATACACAACACTTACTTGTATTTGACGGATAAATCAGAAAAGCAATCAATAGATGAAAGAGAGAAAAAAGATATGAGAATACATACATACTCTGTATTACAGAGAGTATACATTATATACATTATATAATAGTAGTTATGTAAGTATTAGAGCATAAGTTATATTGATTTTTCGTTTGAATTAAGTATTCAATTCATTTCTCAACAATTTATTCAATTGGTTTTATATATAATATGCTTTATTTTTATTTAAATATCTTTATTGCTTTATCTGTCTTTTGCTATTTAATACCAAATTTTGTTTTCTCCATTCAAGTCAATCAAATCGTACAACAATTTTCCAAAAATAAAACCCAAAAAATCCATCACTTTTTATTAATGTAACACTATTTCATAATATTGCCATATAATTAGAAATATATTACATTATATAATATCAATATATATATATGCTATACATTATATACAGTATATATGGAGTATATATTTTTTGCTTCAAAGTTATACAGTCTTTCAAAAAGTCTATATTTATTTTTTTGCTAATAAAATGTCAGCTGATATGAGCCGTGAATTAAATTAGAAGAGTGACTATTGAAGCAAAAAATTGTTACCAAAATTTCTTATATATACTGTATATTTATATATAGTGTATATTGCATTCAAAAAGCTATGATAGGTATATGTATTCAAATACCAACAATACTGATATTTAGCTATACAGTATGTGTGTGTGTAAACCAATATTATATTTAATTTATAATATAGTCGTTCATCTATTTTATTTGAAGTTATATACTGTATATATATATTGGTATCTCTTTTGGGTTAAATATAATTATTGATACAATGTTTTGTTGACCGGAGATAACGATTACATCGATCTGTGACCGGAATTGTCTTATTTGTGATAACAGCGGTTATCTCAGACAATAGTTTTTTCCTCACTTATGTATATATATACACTGTATATAATAGTTATGCTCCCTTTCCCTGAAAATATAAACATCAATTGTCTTGTAATTAAAGCAAATCTTTTGATTGCTTACATACAATCCTTTTATGTTTATCATTTTCTTTTAAGAAAATTAATTCAATTAACTTTTTTTTGTCGGTTAAAAACAAATTATAATTAGCTTAATGTACGACTGGCCGCACAGGTATCCCATTAAAACTACGAGTTAATGATAAGTGTAATCAATATGATTATACTTTTTTACTCTATATTGTGTATAGCTGTGTAATATGTGTGTGTTTTTTATGTGTATACATTATTTTTCATAATAATGCATAATTTCAAATAATTTACTTAATTCAAATAATAATCATTTTAAATGTACTGTAATATTATAATACATAGATTATTAATAAAATTATCCGATTTTTATATTACATAAAGTAATCACATATTATAATGTAACAGTAATTATAACTAATATTTGACATTTGGGAAATTGGATTAGCATTTTTGTAAAAATAATTTATATTTGTAATATTTTTTGCTAACATAGCAAACATTTATTGTTTATGTATTTTGTATACATATTATAGAATATTTTTTAAATGTCAAACATGTTTTACATAACATGAAAATATTTTTGCTATTTATTTATATATTTATAATTCAAAACATTATACTACATTTAGATAATATATTATATTACAAAATAAAAATAAATTAAACAAATTAAATAAAAATAAATTACAAAAAATAATTTAATTTCTAATTTTAGTGAATTTTGAGATAAGATAAAACATTTACTTTATATTCATATACTGTTTATATATATCAAGAAAATGAAAAATATAAAATTTTTATATTTTGAATGATAAATTAAAATCAATATTTTTATTTTTACAAATGTTGCTATAAAGTAATGTATAGATATATTAAAAATGATATATTGCTTAAATAATGTTATATTTTATATATATTACATGATATGACCCACAAATAAATCATATAATAAATAAATACAATGTAAGAATAAATATATTTAATATAATATTATATTCTCATTTATATAACAAAATTCTTATATAATTTATTTTAAATAAATTAATATTACATTTATCTAATAAAATAAACAAAGTTTACAATTATTTCAAGCAAAATAAATTGACAAATAAATTATTTGTATTCCAGGAATACAAATGTGTGTAAAATTGTATCAATTTTTTAACAAATAGTTTAAATAATAATACATTATATATGTTAGAAACATGAATAATGTGTATAAAATTTTGAATAAACTATCTATTAATAATTATATGTTATATTCAGTACAATAAATATATTGTTTAAACCTTATGTATGTTGATTGTTACCATAGATGATGTGCTCAAATGCCATATACCAGGCCTGTCAACAAACAGACACTTATGACGACAACAGACCGACAATAACCGAAAATGAAGGAAAAGGTCAGAACCAGAATCTGATATCTCCGTCGTCAACAATACCGGAACAACTAGAATGTCATGTCCCGGCATTGCCAACGATAAGCATATATCATACATGTGCCACCCGTTCCCGTATAGCACTGGCACTTATTTGTACACTTTTGCTCACATTTGTTATCTTTGCCATAACGGCTGCCAAAAGTAAAACTGGCTTTAAATTTGGAGCAAACACTTTGGGATTAGAGACAACATTTAGCCAACAGTGGATGTCTGACCAGATGGCACTCGGACTAAGCCAACAGTCAGTAGTGGTGGACACGAAATGCGGAAAATTGATTGGCGATGAAGAACACGAGTCCTATGTTTTTAAAGTATTTACACGTTTTTTCTTCCAAAACTTTCCCATTAATTTTATCAATGATTTATAGACCAAACTAAACAATATGTCATCTCATGTTTTTTAAAAACAAAAAATGTTTCTCAGTTCCCATAATTTATAGGATTAAAACTTTTCAATGAATATTTTTATTAAAAAAAATAAATCCATTTATGTATCTAAAAATTATTACACAAAGAATATTCTTGGAAAATGTAATTATATAAAGAATAGAAAATATAGTTATTATTATTATTACTATTATTACTATTGAAGAGAATCCCATCAAATATTTTTACAAAAATTATTGTATTGAAAAATATTGTTTGAAATGTTGCCAAAATATATAACAAAAAAATATTTGACAATAAAGAATCATATAATAGTATATATTTATATTATATTATTTATCAAATAGGTTTAGGAAAAAAATAAACTAAAATTCTGCATATTTTTGACAATAGTCGTAATAGTAAAGTACAATAATTTCTAATAAATTTCAAATTATAGTTTTATTTTTTGCCTGAAAACTTGTTTTCTAATCATTTTTATATAACTTTTTTTATTTTTATTAATAATACATTTGGCAATAGTACATTATTGAGAAAACTTTTAAAACTTCAAACTTTTAATAACTTTTATTTTATAAAATTTATATAGTGTCTAAGTAGATAATATTTCAATTAAAAATAATAAAATAAGCTATTATTGTCACTTTAGTTTTATGTTTATAATACAATGTTATCATACAATATAAAGAATTAAATATTTTTATAACTTTTAAGTAATCTTTTCATTTAAGCTATTTATATATACATTTTAGTTAAGTTATAAAAATAATAGTATTTTTATTTTATTAAGATTTAAACATATAAATTATATTATTTTTATAATAAAATGATTTAAACATAAATAAAATCTATAATGAATGACAAATATTGTATTAATTATTTAACAATCCATGTCTTCAACAATCCGAGAAAATGTATTCATTATTTTGTCATTTATTAGGGCATACCATATGCTGTACCACCAACTGGCGCCAGAAGATGGTCACCACCGTTACCAATAGCTAACGACTCATCAAATTGTAATCAATCGGGACAAAGGCATGCAATCAAATTTGGATCGCCCTGTGCTCAGGTCAACCCTTATACCAAACAAGTCGAAGGCAAAGAAGACTGTCTCTATCTGAACATATGGACGCCTAATATCGATTCTGGGGTTAGAGACCATACATTGTTTAATAATATATTTTTAATTGATACATAAACATACAATATATATATATATATATATATATTAATATATAATAGGCTAAACTACAAGTTATGGTATGGATTCACGGAGGTTTTCTACAGTTTGGTTCGGGTCATCAGCCGGGCCTCAGACCAAACGGCAAATTAGCCAAAAGTCAAAATACTGTTTACGTCAGCTTAAACTTTAGGCTTTATGCGTTTGGTTTTATGCCATTGGATGTGTTGATAAATAATAATAATAATGACACCAAAAATAATAGCATAAAGATTGTAAATAAAGCTAACAAAGATAACCGTTATAATAATAATTCAACCAATTATGGTCTCATGGATATCATAATAGCGCTACAATGGATCCAAAACAATATACACATTTTTGGTGGCGATCCACATAAAGTAACTCTGTTTGGAGCCGATTCCGGTGCTGCACTCATACTGGCCATTACAAGCAATCCCGATATGAGACACCTGTACTCAAGCTCGTGGCTCATCAATCCGGCCCTATATCTGAATCACAGTTTTGCCGACGCATCCAAACATAATCGGAAAAACTTTTTAAAGTACTCGGGATGTGATTCGCGTCAATGTCTGTTAGGTCTGACCAGTAATCAAGTGATTGAACACTTTTTGGGAAAAAACGACCCGTCATTTCGTATTAATGATCAAAACGATTTGCCTATTTTGGGTATAATGAGTGAACAGCTAATTACAATCGATGGTAACAATTGATTGATACTTTCTAATTGTAATAATACTAATAATAACTAACAATTGACAACACATTTTTCATTTAGCCATTAATTTAATACATATATCTTTATATATGCACTTAAATTAAAGACTACATTATTTCAAAGTAAAACTTCTTAATTAAGATTAATAATGGATTGCTTAAAGAATCGCTTCAATGCAAGTGATACACGAATATTCTGTAAAAATGTTTAATACAATGACTATAACAATACAGTGATAGTACTGTAATACCAGTATATTAATAGTATACTTATTAAGGGATAGTAGTCTAAGCACTTGATTAGTTGTCCCAATGATTGTTAACTATCATTAGGGGATTAATTACTTAAAATGAGACGATGTCTTACATTTTATTTCTAAATCTTTTCAATTTTTACTTATTTTTCAAATGTTTTGTTATTTTCTCATAAATTAAAAGCAATCAAAGTTTTTTATTTGATAAGAAGTAACATAAAAAACAAAATCTAAGATAAATGTTTCAATTATATTATTATTTTTCTTTTTTTTCTTATTACAAAACTAACATAAGATATCAGTGTTAACAACAAAAATTTTAATTATTTTTTAGATATCTATGTCCGCGACGCGTATCCATTCAGTGAATCAATGTTTAATAGTCCTGTTCTCATCGGGTCGACCTCCCAGGCCATAGAATTTTGGCCCGGACCCCGTGATTTGGATACATGGCAGTGGAGGGACTATACTAAATACGTGACCACAAGTCTAGATTCGTTTGGCGCACAAGTATCACGACAGTCACTCCAGTTGTACGCACCGGTAGATGATGGCAATCAGACAACGCCGGCCATTCAATATATAAATATGGTGTCAGATCTACGACAAGTCTGTCCCATTGATTATTTGGCACAAACGTTGGCACAAAATTATGATAATAATAATAACACTAATAATTCATCTGTTTATCGATATATATTTAGCGCCCGACTCTCTGATGCTGTAAGTAATGTCATGGCATACAAACAAAGAGTTTGAGTAATGTTTTTTTTAAATTTAAATTTTTATTAATATTTTTTTACAAAATAAAGATTTTTTAAAAAGATGATATATACTATATACTGTATATATATTTAAAAACGTTTATATTTTTTCTATGTGCTATCTATACAATGATATTAACTTTTTTGTTTTGCTTTTCCTTAACTATAGGTCCGGGTCTATGGCTATCCTTCCAGTTATTCGTTTCATTTAATTGAAGTCATCGCCTATTTTGATGAAATCGAGTCATTTATAAGACATCCGACAAAAGATGATTTTGCCATTAGAGACACAATTCAACAATTAGTTCAATCATTTGTAAATAATTTAAACATTAATCAAAACTTTTATCACAGCCCTAATAAAAACGATTACAACAACAACAATGAAAATAAATACAATGAAAGCAGCACTACATCATCATCAGCAACAACAACACAAATGAGTGCCACAAACAATGTAACCGCTGCTGAAACTTCCACTGTTATCATCAAAAACACGATAAAAGATATGACAAACTCCACAATCGTTACCATAAACAGTACAACAACAGAGAAAATGATGACAAATGAAGAGTCGGAGGACATCAGTGAGACAACAACAACAACAACAACAACAACAACAACACAGCAAAGACAACCCAACAATGAAGATAAGCCGCGCGTATCGTTAGGTCAACCCTTTCCGCAACAGTTTATTGAGATCACGTCCCGATTGACCACAAATATGACATCGATTTATATTAAAAATTATATTCAAAGTGATCGCTGTCTCTTCTGGCAAATGAATCGACTCTTTGACTACGTTTGGACGGTTTGATTGGCTAAATGATGGACCAATTGGTCCGTCAAAAAAACGATGTTTTAAATTTTTATTTGTTATCTAAAAATAATAAAAATAATTTGTAAATAACTAAAATTAATTTTTAATTAATACAATATACATATTTAAAAATACAATGTAAAATGCTTAATTTAATGTTTTATAAAAGTATTGTCTTGTAAACAGTTATGTAGACATTATTTTTTAAATACAATATTTATTTAATTAATTACTCGTTTTTACCAATTTAAAGTATATTTTATCTTGCTTATTTATAAATGAGTTCCTAATATCTCTATTACTTTCATTTACTTAACATTAATAAGTAATTCACAAAAAAATGATAATCTAAAATATTAACAAAATATAATTGTTTTTGTGTTATATAATAATTAAACAAATGCTATTAAATGAATTTTGTAATAAATTGTTAAAAACGAACTTTTAATAATATTTTCTCTTTTTCTTAATATTTTTAGTGTCAATTAAAATAATTTATTGTTAATAATGTTTTTAAATATAAATGTTAAATATATTGTAAAATATAGAAAAAATTTTAATAAAAATATTGTGTAAATAATTAAATAGTAAATAATTAATTGTAATAAAAATAATTTAGCATTTATTAGTTGAGTAGAATTTCAAACATAAAAACAAAACAAAGATTAAATTAAAAATAAATATTAAAATTATATTAATTTTTAAAAACTTTAGGTTTATTATTCAATAAATCATATAAATTAAATTTTTAAAAGTTATGTCATGATTTTGTAAAATCATTGATTAAATTTTGTTAAAAAATTTTACAAAAAAAAATGTTTTATTATTGAAGTTTTTAGCAAATATTTAAGTGATTTTTGATTTTTTACAATTGTGTTATTTGTCATTTACTTTATACAATTGATATATAATAATAATACAGTCTGAAAAACATTATAAAATTTAGCTAAAACAATGCTAATTAACCAATTATTGAATTATATTATATTTAAAATGATTTCATTTATGTTACATGAGATATATAATTATAAATATAAAAATAAGTTTTGATATACAAAATTTTATTTTTAATTCTGATATTTATCATCAACTCAATAGTTGTTTTACACTTGAAATACTGTGTGTGTGTGTGTGTGTGTGTGTGTGTGTGTGTGTGTGTGTGTGTGTGTGTGTGTGTGTGTGTCACAAATATAATGGCATTGATATATGTAATTAACTATGATAATATTGAATATGTATTTGATTATTTTATTTTTTATATTAAGCATATGTTTTATTAAGTGCATATAAATTAGCTATTTAAATTATTATTATTTTTACATAATAACAAAATTATTTTTTAACAGAAAACAGTCACACATAAAATTTCAGTCATAAGATTCTACAAAAAAGTCTCTTTTCAATAAATTTTTAATGTTTTACTGTTAACCTCAATATACATACATACAGTATATATTTATATATATATATATATATATATATATATATATATATATATATATATATATATATATATATATATATATATATACAGTATATTTTAGTTATTTTTTTCTCAGTCAGTGATTATAATTTTCTCAGTTTTTTTTTGTATTTCTATCGTTTTAATTAAGCACTAAAAACTAGTGTTTACTCTATACTATAGCATTGATTCAGTTCAAGGTATTATCTGATATTTTAATTTGTATTTATTTTGTTTTATTATATATTGTATTATTACTATCATTACTGCTATTATTATTATTATTATTATTATTATTATACTTAATACTTGAAATATAATGAATCATAGTTTAAATAACAACAGCAAAACTGACTGTAAAACGTGAATAATGATTGTCTGTTTGGTATATATTATAATAACAAAAAATAAATAAATTTGAAAAAATATTAGTTTTATTATTTATTGTCTCTTTCACACACTTTTTTTCTCTATTTATATTATATTATTTGCAGCCCTGAAAACAAATATAACTACAAATTTAAACAAAATTGTAGAAAAAATTGAAAAATTTTAACACTTAAAAAAATTATTGAAAATTTGATTAACTATATATTTACTCATTTTTGTTATTAGTATTGTGTAATTATAATCTCTTATACGATATATTAATATAATAAGTATTTGTCAATTAGAAAAATAATCTCATTGTTAGATAAATTATAATTTCTAAAGTATTATTGTTATTGATAATCATCTAAATTAATAGATTATGTTTAATTATTTTGAATGTATAATATAATATATTTATTGTTCATAAATATTATTTCAAATCTATATTATATCATATAAAATATTATCAATTGATAAATGATTACTAAACTAGTGCTAATACTGTATATGTTATTTTTCTTTTACATAAATATATAAAACAGTTATAAAATTATATATTTGAGTACAATTTTGTGATAATTTTTAAAATTGATATATCATTCATTCAAACATAACATCATTATTTTGTTTAAAAATATTTTATAAAACTAAAACAAACTAAGATAAGAGAATTACAATGAGATATAGCATTAAGTCATATGACAATTATTTATAGAAATATTTGCTTAAATTATATATTATATCATTTATTAAAGATTTGATTTGAATTGAATGCTATAAATCAAAACCTACTCATAATTCTCTCTCTCTCTCTCTCTCTCTCTCTCTCTCTCTCTCTCTCTCTCTCTCTCTCTCTCTCTCTCTCTCTCTCTCTCTCTCTCTCTCTCATATCTCTTTATGTTTATATAATTATTGAATAAATCATTTATTAATATTAATTTTATTATTTAATATAATATTTGAATAGAAAATGCCATATGATATATGGTGGTAGACTTATACTTATATAACTAATAATTATTATATATTTAATATATTTATATAATTTGAATGCTACATAAACCCACGCGCTATATATCTATGATTAATTTCTATGCGATTACGACCTGGACACTTTTGTTATTAGTTGACATCAATTTTATGTTTATATTATTATAATGTCTATATTTTCATATAATAATATATATAATTTATATAATGACAATATTCTAAATAAAGTGGTTATGTTATAAATACAGTATAGTACATACTTTATCATTAAAATACAAATGTAATAATTTATTAATTTAAAATTAAAAGGATTTTATTTTGTATTAGAATTAATATACAATAATTAATAATTTTATTTAATATTTAAAATTTCAAAATACCATTTTATGCTATAGTAATAATCATATTATAAATTATAATATAATAAAAGTTTAATTTAGTGGTAATATGGAGTTCAAGTGCGTTCACTACATCATTATATCAGTCATTGTCATCGATGTCATTGATATTTCATTTGCTTTATTCAGACATTTCATTCATCTATTTTTTAATAGTTTTGTTTACTTAAGTTGTTTTAATCAGACTTTACTTTTAAAAAATATCTTTGATATAAGATTTACTAAAATCTAGTTATACAGTGTTTTTTAATTACATTTTAACTGTTTTATCAATAAATATATATTTTAGGATGAATTGCATTTTTTGATGGTTAAAATAAAATATTATTTACAATATTACATTATTATTTATTGTGTTTTAAAACTAGTTTAAACAATTTAAATAATAAGTTTTTTAAAAATCAGTTGAAAAATTTTTGAGATTAATTTTATTATATATAATATTTGCTTTATTTAATAAAACAAGTGTGATTTGTGGCGTAAAAGATAATAACTAAAGTTTAGATATGACTTCAAATATTATGACATATTATAATCTTTATGCCAAATGATATTAAGTTAAACTATAATAAATGATACACTTATTGCAAAATATTACATATTGTGTGTGTGTGTGTGTGTGTGTGTGTGTGTGTGTGTGTGTGTGTGTGTGTGTGTAATATCAATATTAAAAGCTTATACAATATAATTTACCATTAATTACTTTATAAAAAATTTTATTTTTGTTAAAAAACAAGTTTTTAAATTCGAGAAATAACTAACCATAATATTTTAAGTTTTAGTAACACAATAACATAATATAGTATAATTTATATGATTTATTTTTTATGTATTATGAAGTAATTTTATCTGTCATTAATTAAATTGTGAATTAGATTTTATCTAAAACAAACATTATTATACTAAATACTAATAGTTATTATAAAATATAAAAATTAATAAAACACTGAATTTTTATTTTATAAATAGTTTATTACATAGTTTTCATATATTATGTTCTTTTGTTTTTCTTCTTTATGCAAAATATAAATTATACTAAATATTAATATATATTATAGTAATATATAAATTTAGTACAATAACTAACATACATAACATAATGTTAGATAAGTATGCTTTCTATTTAATAATTTTTAATAAAACCAGTAAAGTATTCATTAATAAAATGAACTTTTAGTATCAAAATTATTAAAATCCTTTTCGATAACTTAAATAAATATTGATTTTAATGAATGAATTCTTTTTTTTTAAATTACAACTTTTATAAATTTAGTTTTACTAAGATTAGTATTTTTTGTTTATTTTTGTTATAATTATTTTTTTCAAATATTATCTTTAAATTCTCTATTTTCTATGTTTACTGGGAATATAAAACTTAAAAATAATATAATAATTATATTTTCTATAAAGATTAGAGATATTTTATATGTGGAAACTTCCCTTATTATAAACAATACTCAAACATTATAAGATATAAAGTCATATTTCATTTACACATTTTCTATTATAAAATTCTAACATTCAATTAGATAAAAATAAAAAATATGTATTTATATAATAAATATGATTGATTAAAAATTTGTTGACATGTTTATAACACGTGCCTAATGGTCAAAGTTTAAATCATATATTTGATTATCTCAGGGAAACGTATTAGAAATATATATAACAACTTGTGATATGATTTATTAACTTAACTTTCAGTCATAAAAAACAATAAAATGTCTTATAAATTATAAGTTATAATTAGTAAATTAATTAAATGTATTGAATAC